TGTACTTAATGATGAAATATTTGATGCTTTTCCCCTAAGGGAACAATGCAGAAGTGTTGTCATAAATTTGTTTTATATAGTTGCTGCCATGTCGTCCATTTTTAGGCCTAACATAAGCTGTTTAAAACCCAGTTATAACCTGTCACCTTTGCTCTAGTTAAAACTTCCCAACCCTGTGTGTGTGTGTGCTTTGTTTGTTTGTTTTTGAGACAGGTCTCATCACTCTGTCACCCAGGCTGGAGTGCAGTGGCACAATCACGGCTCACTGCAATCTTGAACTTCTGGATTCAAGCCATCCTTCTGCCTCAGACTCCCAAGTAGTTGGGACGACAGGCACATGTCACCACTCCCAGCTATTTTTTGTATTTTTTGTAGAGACAAGGTCTCACTGTGTGGCTGAGGCTGATCTCTAACTTCTGGGCTCAAGCACCATTCTTTCATCTTGGCCTCCCAAAGTGCTGGGGTTATAGGCATCAACCACGGCGCATGGCCTGTGGTTGTTTTTTTGACACAACCTGCTTGTGTTTCATCCCATATCTCAAAACCCAGTACATCTTACAGCAGCTGACCATTATAAAACCTAATGGTCAACACCAGAGTCATGTAAATAAGTTCTCCCCATTGTGTGCATTTTCTTTAAACTAGCCAATCCACAAAGCCTGCAGAGAAGACTAAGAGGTAATGCTCACGGATCTTACTGAAGACCTAGCCCCACAAGTTCTTTTGTCTTTCTCTCTGTCTCTCCTGCCCCGGCAACCACTGGTTGAACCGCCTGCCTTCAGACTTCCTGTCCGCATCCTGTAGACTTGTCACCTCTCTGGGATCTGCAATACATTTGAATTTTACTTCCTGGTTGTATCTCATTTGACTGACACACCGGAACTTAACCTTCTCCCTGGTTAGAGTTCTCCTAGAGATACATTATCTTGCCTTATGGGCACTCTCAAGAGAGTAGAGAGAAGCCATGACTATAGAAACCATAACAGATGTCTGCTATTTTATTTTATTCATTCTCTAAAATAATAATAATAAAAAAGAACATAAATATCTAACTCTAGTTTGCTGGCTTGCTTTTGTGGTGACACGAGCAAGGGATTCTGAAACCCTTTCTGTATTGTAGGCTTGAGGAAATAAGTAAGTACATTGACTATCACAGGAGGAAGGGGATATACCCCATAGTTTTCAATTGTAATTGCAGGTATCAGTTTGAATAGTTTTTAACACTGAAGAAAAAAAATATGTTTTATATGTGTTTTTCTATATATATGTTTTTCTATATGTGTGTCTATGTTTTTATAAAGATAGAAATAGATGGAGACACACAAACACACATGTACATTCCACTAAAAGGAATCAGAACCCCTTGGAGAAACGACAATTTACAGGGCTGGACAGGGAAAGTACAAGATGAAGCTGGAACATTAGATTGAATCAGATAGCAGAGAAGCAAGTGCTCAAGGAATGTTGAATTACATAGGAGTTAGCTCAAGGGACTCTTGCTAGCCAAATCTGGAACAACCTGAATATCATGACAATTATCAATGATAATAGATTATAACGCATTCAATATAATATCTGCAAGACTATGCTGGTATAAATACACCAGTATGTATAGAATGCATACATTCATAAATGGGGAATGGGGAAAAGTGTTTCCTTATTAGAAAGTGCCAAAAAGAGAGGAGAGAATAAGAGAGAAGAGACGAAGAGAGAGAGAGAGAGAGAGAGAGAGAGAGAGAGAGAGAGAGAGAGAGAGAAACAGAGGGAAAAGGGTGGGAGGGGGAAAAAAGAGGGAGGAGGGAGAGAATGACAGAGAGAAGAAGGGAAGGAAAGAAAGAGAAAGGGAGAAAGGAAGGAGGGAGGGAAGGAAGGAGGAAAGGAAGGAATTAGAAAATCACCAATGCATATTAAAATTAGTGGGTAAAAGTTTGATAAAGAACAAGATATTTACAGTCTTTATTTTGGTAATTATTAATTACAAAGGAAATACAGTAACTTTATACAAGAAAAAACCTAGTGGAGCCATCTTACCCTAAAGATTAAAATGAACATCGTCAATATTGGGACAAACCAACATCACGTGCCTTTTAATATGATGCTGAGAAAGACACAATATCACTTAATTGGTCCTCCTGCCCAAAATACCTAACCTAATTTTCCCCCGATGTATCTATTTGAACTAAATAAAAAGGCTGAGAACAATCCTACTTTATTTTTAAAAATGTATATCTATGTTATTTCAGGAAAGAGAAAAGATAGCTAAAGCGTAAGTTACTATGTTATGATCTGAAATAATTTAAAACCCAGGAATAAGTCTGTATTAGAAGAAATGAAAATGTCTCTTAAGGTGAAATATTACTATGAGAATAACAGAAAGTTGTAAGAATGACAATTTTTAGAAAATATATTTGCACTCTTTAACTTATTGAATCATCTCATCATCAAGAATATTCCTGATGTTTTTATACCCAAAATAGAAATAATCTAATGTATAGTTATTTAGATGTTCGTAGAAGAACAAGAACACATTTTTTCCCTCTAAATTTATCAATCAGGTTATCGACCACCCCAAAGGAATCCTCCTGAGTCAGTAGGTACTCTCATAAAGACCTCAACTACCTTTTGAAAGAAAACAATATTAAATAGTGAAAACTGCTGAGAAAAAGGAACATAGTGAGCATACATTAATATCTGATTGTGAATATACTATTTACAGGGCACTGTCATATATTTTTAGGATCTCACAATCTACCTTTGAGGTAAATTGTTATTAATTCCAATGAGATTTTTATTCCTCAGAAATACCAACAAGAATGCCAACAAAAGTTTGTTCTTGGATCAATCTGATGTTCATATATGAGGGAGAACCCAAAGAAACTCAGAATTTATTTATAAAAAATTGTGTATTTATTCTTGCATGTTTAAACTTGAGTCATCTTCAAAGTACTTTCTGTTTGATGCAATACACCTATCGAGATGCTTTTTCCACTGCTCAAAACAGTTTTTGAACTTGTCAATTTTGATAACTGTTAGTGCTTCTGCTGTTTTTGGTTTCATTTGTTCCACATGGGCAAAACATTTCCCTTTGAGAACTTTTTTCATCAGGGAAACAAACATGCTCAGGGTGAGATTGGGTGAAGAGGGAGAGTGGGGCTTGGGGGTCATGCCATTTTCTCATCAAAAACTGCTGACATAAAACTCGTTGTAGTGGGGCAGATGTGGTAAATCATCCATCATGAAATGGGTAAATGCACTGAAAGAAGTTAAAAAATTTTTTTTCACTGAAGCCAAATGCAGCCTCTCACAACAGCGCTAGCTAGTACACTGATGCCGATGGGTTCCTAGAACACTCACCTAGTGGGGGAAGACTGTTCTACAAGGGGCCCACCCTCCAAAAAGTAATTTCAGGTTTTTTGGATTTCCCCTCATATACAGAGAATAAATAAGTGAAACAGATTGTTTTACTGAATAGCTTTAGTTTAGAAGTCTCCGTAGACCATTCTCAAAATCCATTCTTTACAGAGGAGACTGGAAACTTTTGAAATTTACTTTGGATTCTTTGAAGATTCTTTCTAAGCAGCATTTTTAGTAGAGAGAAGTGTTTGTTTTGCTCATTTCCTTTGAGGAACAAACAGGTATTGACTGTCAAAATGTAAGTGTTGGAAAAGCAATGCCAGGCTCTGGCCTTTTGAAGTGGACTAGCAGAACTCTGAGCCTCCCATCATGGTGTCCTCCTGCTGGGCTTGATCTTAGGAGTGGTAGAATTCTCACTGCTCATAGGAAGCTTTTCTATTGACCATCATGATTACTGTTCTGTTGCACATTTTGCAATAAATCAGTAAAATAGTTTTGGAGCTCTTATATCTCTTCACAATTTCTGCTTCTTTAAAACTCAGCACATGCTTTTTTTGCTTCTCAATTAACAACTGTCTGTATTTTGCATCAATTTTGGCTTGGGCTGGAGGCATGCTCTCCATTTATCCAGCACCAGCAGCTGGAAAGAGCAAAGACATGCTTCTTCAAAAGTGCTCTCATCATTGTGGGAGGAGCCAGAGGCCCAGAGGTAGCAGGTCAGGCTGGGGCAGGTATCTTTTAGCTTCAGCAACACAGCCCCGGGGTAGTATCTTTGCTTTAGTGAAGCCACTGCTGTCTGCGTGACAGGGCTGAAAGCTGGCGAAAACCCTTTCTTGAATATGATTGTGAAGAAACGTCAGACAAACCCGGTCGAGGGACATTCTACAAGATAAGTGGCCTATACTCTTATTTATCTTTCTGTTTTGTTCAAATAGCTTTAGGGAGTACAAATAGTTTTTAATTACATGGTTGCATTGTATTGTGGAGAAGTTTGGGCTTTAAGTATATCCACCACTCCCACTTGTGCACATTGTACCTGATAGGTGACTTTTTATTCCTCCTCTTCTTCCTCCCCTCCCTCTTGAGTCTCCAGTGTCCATTTTACCATTCTCTATGCCTTTGCAGACCCTTTGTCTAGCTCCCACTTATAAGTGAGAACATGCGGTGTTCAGGTTTCTATTCCTGTATTGGTTCACTCAGGATGATGTTCTCCAAGTCCATCCAAGATACTACAAAAGACATCATTCCATTCTTTTTATGGCTGAGTAGTATTCTACAGTGTATTGTATGTATCAAGTGGTCTGTATGCTTTTTCCCCACATCTGCAACAGATTTTTTTTTAAAGAAATGGATTTTGACCAAAAAAATAAATAAAACCATGGGCAGAAGTATGGAACAGAAAATAAATACAAGCATAAGCAGGTTTGCTAATTGTTTTATAACCACAACTAACTACTACAGAGAATGCCCTGTACTAAGCACAATAAAGGTTCAAAGATGGAGGTGTTCCCTGAGCAAGGCTGAAAAGTTCAGTCCCTGGGCTTTGGAATTTAGGCTGCAGTCCTTGTTTTTTGGATGGATCACTGGGTGTGTGGCAGTCCATGCTTTTACCCAGATTTGAAAAGAAGAATGGCCACTTGGCCCAGTTAGAAGTAGATGAAGTGTTTGGTTTCATGTGTCACATAACTACTGAAGTTCCTCCCCACAATGCAATGCCAGCTGGGGTTATACTTGACAAACCCCTTGATAGGAGCCATGATGTCCTTTTCTAGATTATATTTCTCCAACGCCTGGGTAGCGCACTCCACCCAGTCCTGTTGTGTGTCTTCTGACAGGTCTGCATTTTTGATCATGGCCTTTCTGTCACACAGGTTTCCCTAGGGGGCAAGGCCTGGAGCCAGGGGTTGAGGAATTGGAACGTGGGCAGCACCTCCAATGGCGCCAGCTCCTCACCCCCGGTCACGCCACCCAGGACGATGACCCCCACCCCACTTCCCAGAAAGTGTGGACTGCGTGGAGGGCTAAGTCCGGAGGGGGTGAAACCAGGGAACCGGTCTGCACACTTTTAAAGTGTCAAGATCAAGAAGCTCAAAGAGACGAGGGGCAACTGTTCTCTGTGAGACTTAGGAGGTCTCAAGCCTCAGTATGGTGCATGATCCTAGGTTGGATTCTGAACTGGGAAAAATGAACTGTATAAGACAGTATTAAGGCAATGGAAGATGTTGTAATATGGACTGTATATATATGTGTGTGTGTGTGTTTGCCTATAATTATGTGAGCCTGGAAAAGGATGTGCAACTTGTTAACATTGGTTACTCAGGAAGATGGGTGGGGGAGTAAGGGAAAAATAGGACAGTTAAAACACAAAGCGCAGAGGATAGCGTATCATGTATGCTATTATTTCATTGTTTTTAGATTAGAAAATCTAGTTCATTTAGAAAGTAAATTAGAAAGAAAGAGAGAGAAAAAGAGGTGATTCACCTCCCCAAGGTAGGGGAGGGGGCCAAAGCCAGGAAGCATGGCTGTAGCCATAGCTCAAAAAGCACATGACCACATCAGAGTCTAGTAAGGGAAGGGCAGTGGCAATGACCTAGCAATGGCCTTATTTCATTTTTGATAAATGATATGAATATGTGTATATGCATTAAATGAAATATGAATCGTGAACAAAATGCTAATGAATGGTATTCTAAGGTGATGGGAATTTGAACAACTTTTACATTCTTCATATTTAGGTATAATATAATTTGTTCAAAGTACAGGTATTTGTATAAGCATACCAAAAGTAGTATTGTTGTGTTAGAAAGGGCAAGCAAAAGTCATTTGGGGTAAATTATAAGAAAGTTTTGGATTAAAGTTTTTCTGTTTTTGGCTACTTTTGCTTATAGTGCAGTTGATCACTTTAAGTATCTTTCATGTTTTGATACAAGATATTCCCAGATGGGCTGAGCACATGTAAACATGTGAGCAAAATCTCTGGCTTGGGAGGAATTAAGGTGTCTGAGTTTCTGAAGAATTTGGTTTGGCGTGGGAGCTTTAGCAGCCCTCCTAGAACTCTCAGACGACACCCTTTCTGGAGATTTCAGAGTTCTTCCAGGACAGTGTCCCTTTGACCAGCTTGTACCTTGCCCACACAGGTTGCACACACAGTCTAGCCCTGAAGGGTATATAAATCATGTCCTGTTCTGGGATCTGAATATCTTCCCCTTTCAAGCATGGATAAGACCATACTTCCTCTTGGCTGCTAGAAGGTATTCTGAAATGAGATGGGTTTGTGGAATGCTTTGAGCTGCTCAGATGAAAGGAACAATGCTCTAATTTTGCTAATAACATAACCCCTATTGTCAGTGAATCCACTGAGTCAGATAAAAACAATGAGAGACCACCAACAATCAAGGTGGGGGCAGGCGGCTTGTTGTTGAGTGCTAATGGCAGTGACAGCCATGGTGGCTTTGGGAGGGTGGTGAAAATGTGAAAAAGGTCTGCCGGGCGTGGTAGCGTGCCTGTAGTTCCAGCTACTTGGAAGGCTGAGTGGAAGGATCGCCGGAGCCCAGCAGGTCGAGGCTGCGGTGGCCGGGAGTGGCCACTGCATTCCAGTCTGGGCGACAGAGTGAGACTCCAACTCAAAAAAAAAAAAAAAGTAAAAAAAGGTAAAGAGTTAATGCTCCCAGAAGGAGACCTCAACTAATAATGGATGGGAAGTTGGCATATTAATTTCAGTTTCCTTGATTGCCAGTCACAGTAACTCTGAAGCATCCACAACTGAGACCTCCCAGGTCTCCCTAGAGGAGCTGAGCTTCAGCTGCCTATGGTTATAACTTGCTTGATGCTGCATACTTTGTTGCTTTAATTTCTCTCCTTATCTCACTTCCTCACTGTTCTAGTGTTTTCTGGAATTCCCTCCCAAATAATACTTATACTTGGATCCTTGTCAACGCTACACCAGCTAGAAACATTGGGTGCTTTCCTACCAATCTACTTTTCTATACCCAACCCCAGTTCCCTTAGACACTAGTGCCTTTTGTTCTGCCTGTTCAAATTATGAAAGTTGCACTTTGCTACAATCTAGGCCTGAGACTCCTCTTCCCTCTAAAACTGAGATACTCTTCTCTATTCTACTCGGGAGGCAGCTAATCAGACACAGTGTGCTCTTTCCAACCTGCAACGGGCTATAAAAAAGCTGAAGTCAGACATACATACCTGGCCTAGAATCTTGACTCCATTACTTACCATGAAATCCTGTGCAAATCACCCACCTTCTCCGATCTTCAGCTTTCTCTTTTGTGAAATAATTCCTACCTCATCGGGTTGTCCTCTGGATTTAATGAGCTAAATGTATAAAGAACTAGGATACTTCCTGATACAAAAAGATACGTGAGAAAAGATAGCTGTTTATATTATATTATTTTCTTGTACTAAATAGTAAAATGTGCCTCCATATATTTCCCAACCTAGTTGGTCGTTTCTCTGCCATATTCACTCACTCTCTTTTTCACGCAGCCTTGCACATGATAGACACTAAAATATTCATGATCAGTTTTCCAAAACCTTAAATCAGATAATGCACTCTTTCAATTCAAGACTCATTTTGGGTTTATTTGTTTTTTGTGCAGCACTCTCAAGGAATTTTTAGCAGGTCACTCGGCTTTTCTGGACCTCAGTCTCTTCATATGCAAAATAAATGTTTGGTCTATAATTCTAGATGCACTGCAGTTGTTACTAGCGTTCAAGTTTAGGCAAGGATGATACATTACTCTTCTTTCTGACCCCCTCAACACTTGAGCCAGTAGTAGTTGCGGAGTAAGTCACCTTCCGGTACATGCGGCATCAATTCCAGATGCCTCCCTGGTTTCCCCCTTCCTAGCCTTACCTCTTCTCTCCCTGGCCCTCACTCCCAGCCAGGCTGCTTTTCCTTTGTACCCCTAGAATGTATGGGTTTGTTCTGGCCTTGAGGACTTCACACTTGCTGTTTCTCACCATTCAGTTCAAATGTCTCCTCCACAGCGTTCCCTCACCCCACCCCAGTCTCTCCATCTCATGACACCACTTAGTTTTTTTCCTTCTTATAACTGTTTTCTGAAGTGGTCTTATCCATCATTTATTTGTTTACAGTTTGTTCCCTCTACCTCTGTCCTGAATAAACTTTTATATTGGATCCTCTTATATCCTTGCTGCTAAAATGGTACTTAGCATAATCTAGGCCCTGAAAGAATTGTGAATTGAGCAAATCAGTCCAACAGGACCTTATACAGTAGGTTTTACAATTGTCCTTCAGTATCCGAGGGGGACTGGTTCCAGGACTGTTCGAATATACCCAAATCCATGCATACTCTAGTCCCTAAATTGGCCCTGTGGAACTTGCATATACAAAAAGTCAGTCCTGGCGCTCCGTGTACACAGTTCCCTATTCCAGGAATACTTAGTTTTCACCTGAGTTTGGTTGGAAAAAATCCACATCTAAGTGGCTCTACACAGTTCCAGCCCATGTTGTTCAAGGTCAACTATAGTTGGTGAGCTACAGTCTGTGGCTATCATACACTGGATTCCAGTGAACCCCCTCCTGTACAAGTCACCAGTACAAGAGAATTAATAGCCAGAGGTCTTAGGAAGACTATTATGAGCAATCATAAAAACTTATTTAGAAATCATATCAGCATATTTTTTTGCTGTGGAAAATTTAGATAAAATTTTTAAATAAATAACTTCTTTTTATTATGGAAAATTTCAAACATAAACATAAGTGGATGTAGTGGATAAGAACAGCATCATGGGCCCTCTTGTACACAGTGGTGGACAGACTCAAGGGTGACCTCTCACCTTGACGTTCATGCCCTTGCATAATCCCCTCCCCTCGAGTGTGTGCAAAACCTGTGACTTGCTTTCTGGCCAACAGAATATGCACATTTGAAGCTGTCCCTGTGTGATAAGCAGACTCTCTCTGGGGAGTTGAGGACAGATTCTAGTCTCCAGTCAGCCCAAACCCAGGGCCTTCAGTCCTCCTGCTGCATGGAATGAATTCTGCCAGTGACCTTGATGGCAGCTGTGAGATTCTAAGCAGTGGACTCAATGTGCCTGGACACTTGACCCACAAAAACTGAAGAAAAATTCTGTGTTGTTTTAAAGTCACTAAGTTTGCAGCAATAGTTAAAAACAAATACATCACCCAATGTCAACAATTTTCAATAGTTCCTGATATTGTTTCATCTACATTTCCATGTTTGAGGGGCAGAATGGCTGGACTGTTTTAAAGCACATTTCAGACTTTATATCATTTCACTTGCTGACACTTTAGTATAGCTCTCTAACAGATAAGGACTTTTTTTTTAAGTTGTAATCTCACTCTGTCACCCAGACTGGAGTGCACTGGCCGCTCCCGGCCGCTGCAGACTTGACCTGCTGGGCTCCAGCGATCCTTCCACCTCAGCCTTCCAAGTAGCTGGAACTACAGGTGCACGCTACCACACCCGGCTAATTTTTTTGATTTATTGTAGAGATGAGGTCTCGCCAAGTTGCCCAGGCGGGTCTCGAAACAGATAAGTACTTTTAAGAAACAGAACCATGATGCCAGAAAAATTTGGTTTTAATTGAGAACAAGAGTGGGAGTCTTTTTTAAAGCTATCAAGTCAATGGACCTAATATATTAATTGGACACCCACAGAAAAGGTGATTGCAATAAAAAGAATAAGAATAATATTCCATGATCCCATTAGCAAAAGGACGGGAAAGCATATGCTTGAGATGTCTGAGGGCCGCCAGTTGGTCTTTTAAAAATAGCCCAGCCACAAAGTACTTATTGTCCCTGTAATACACTTGTCTGTCATACAATATCTAGAATAATTCAAACCCAATTCTGATTGTATGTTTAAGATCCATTCCCTCAAGACCCTCACCTGCTTTGGAACGGACCCTTGTAAATCTATTTTTATTCATATTTCCTGACGATTTCACGTTATACTCTCATTGCCATTCCCACCACTTTTTTCTTGCTACAGCAAGCTCTTCCCAACTGGCCCCCTTAGAAAGCCAGTCTCACCTCCCTTTGACACTGCTTACTGAGGCACGCTTTTTAAGGGAAACACTCAATGCCGTTTCTGCCACCGGGGAGCTTCGTGATGTTTGGCCAGTAGTTACACTTTCTCTAAGCTAGATTCAACAGTGCCTCGCAGGGTTGTGGTGAAGATGAGACAAAGCTAACCTTCGTGTCATATGTAACGTGCAAAGTGCCCAGCACAGATGAGGCGTCGCTCTCTACCATCCTCTTTGTTGGTTCCCATCTCCAACCGCCGAGAGCTCGTCGCGGAGGATGAAGGGACTTGTAGTTTCTGGGTCCCCAAGTCGTGTTTCCTCTCGGAGTCAGAGGGCGAGAGGAAGAACTACATATCCCAGTGGGCCGTGAAAGGAAAGCGGGGCTCGGAAAACCGAGCGTCCCCGCCCGGCCGCCTTCACTTTCCGCGGCCACCCGTACCCACCCCTGCAAAGGCTTGGACCCCGCGGGGACGCCAGGGCGGGCGCTAGCACGCAGGCGCCTTCTGCCCGGGCGGCCTGAGGCTGCGCCCCCAGATCCCGCGGCAGTCGGCGGGGAGTGAGGGAGGCGCGGGAAGCGGGGAGGCGGAGAAGCGCTCGGTCCTTTGCTGCCGAGGGGGCTCCGCAGAGGGAAGGAGGGAGAAATAAAACCAGCAGATTGTGAGCGTCCGCGGGGGAGACGTGGACACCGAAAAGGCCGGGGAGGCAGCAACCCAAACAGAGCCTGGCCTCCAAAGGGGCTTTCGCTCCGGGAGAGAGGCCGGGGCCCAAGGACCCCCTGCTCACTCCCCTGCCTCTCTCCCTCCCGGCCTGGGAGCCGGCCGAGCCGGGCCCGAGACCCTCGTCTGCAGCCCCGTCCCGGAGTCAGACCTGCCTCGGGCCAACCTCTTGCCATCGTGTCACCGGCACTCCACACCACCCCACCCCTTCCCTGGCCATCAGTAAGGTCCCTGGCGACTCGACCACGCGCCCCGCAGGGGAGGAAAAGGAAGAGCCGCGGGCAAGCCGGGGAGGGTCACCTCTCCGTGCCGTGGCTCCTCAGGTGCCCGGGGGTCGCAAGAATGGCTTGCCGGCTGCTGTGAGAATGTGCGCGTCCCGAGGCGGCCGCTGCCGCCG